ATGAGATAAAGATTGTGAGTCCCTCTGCAGAGATGTGGGGATCAGAGCTCTTCCTAGTGGCAGTGCCCACTAGTCTTGGGCCTGTGGTCATTGTCTGCAGGGCAGGACAAAGGCCTGTGCCCACCATGGCCTTACACCAGCAGAGCTGCACACACCATGGAGGTGTGAGGGGGCAGCCACATTCCTACACACAGGCTCCAGGCTGTGTGCCTGGCTGTGGGGCAACTTCCCAGGCCTCCCCAATCCCTCCCACATGCACAACTTCAATCCACACAGACTCACCAGGATGCAGCACTTACTTGGCTGCGGACCTCAGTGTATACTGCATGGGGAAGCACATGTGTCCATAGCAAATGTCCTGTGCCTCTCCAGCCCTATTACAAGCAGAACCTTGGTGCTATGGGAGTCACACAGGGACGACAGAATGCACTCAGACCACCGACCACAGAGTGCACTCATTCTGTGTCCCAGGAGGGGTGACACCATTCCCCACTGAGAAGCCCTTCAGTCACAGAGCTCAGGTCCACAAGAGCCACCCCAGTGAATGGTTGTCAGTTGGCCTACAAGTCCCAGGGCCTGCACTTGAGAAGTGACAAAGTGCATGCTGTATCAAGCCGATCACATGGACAGGTTCAGTGTTTCACGGGTCACACTTAGAAGTGACGGACACAGTTCATCATATATTTCAGAATATTGAGCTATGTGTCTTGGGAACTGCAGATATCTAAGCCATTCTCTGTACTCCTGATACCCTGATGTAGAGAGCAGTCAGACCTCTGAGTTTTGTAGGAACAAGAATCAGCCACCAAATCGTTTTCCTCTCTCGATTTTGGCACCGTCTGTTCTGGCTTCCTAATGACACCTCACATGACTGTGTTTCCTTCTATTTGGACAAATTTTTATAAAAAGTGGAAACTCATGTGAAGTAATGTTTCACATTAGTGCTGTCAACACAATGCAATTGAATATGAGATTTTAAAATATCAAAACATTTCCTGAAAGTAAATTTTTTCCTTTCCTCGCTCCCTTTTGGGGGAAGTACCTATTGTTATTGCTTTTATTTCTTTACTCTAGTATTGCACTAAAAATTTTGGAAGTACTATCCCATGTATATTAGACCTTTAATGTTAAAGAAAGGAGTCCATGGAGAAGCAACACAAGAACATGAGTAAGGGTAGGGTAAGTTGTTTTCTCCTTTCTCCATCCCAGTTATTCTTTCCTTTCATCCACTTGCTTTCCCTTTAATTTTCACAATATCTACTGTACATTTTGAATATTATTTACTCCTTTGCTTTTTTACACTAGAGAGGCAACACAATGTTTACACATGTGAGCTTGATTTAATTGTTAAAAGATGAGGAGCACGTGCTGTGTCATTGTGGCCAAAGAGTGGTCATTGACAACTTGTGCTATCACTTCTGGATCCCTAAACAGTGCTAGATGCAGAGCAGATGGCAGAAGAACCTTCATTTATTTTTTCCTCCTCCAGGAAACGTTCCTGCAGTCACCACAATCTCTTCACACAGGATCACTTACAAATCATCTGCCTAAAACTGTGTGGAATGTTTTTTCCAACATGTAAGGTAAGCTGAAAACAGCATCTCTTAAAAAAGTCAAATTTACTAACAGTAGTAAATCAAGGTCCCATTTAAATAAATTTTATCAAAATTACCCTTTACATGATCTCTGGTTCTTCTAAACATGAACCTTTACTCTTTACCTTATCACCATTTTTTCAGATTTTACTCACTGATAATTCTTTGTTTTCCTGAAACACTTAATACCTTGGTCCTTGTTCAGTAATATCCCTTTTGTTATTTTCTCCTACTAATTCATCCCAGGCAATTGTCCTAATGAATCCTCCTCATACGAATGGTCTTTAAAGTTTGCAACCCAAGACCAGTCATTTTTATACCTGTCAGTTCACACAATCTTGGTGAATTCCTCCCTTACCAGGGCTTCTCCTACAATCTGTACCGTGTGACCTTAATTTATTTATGTCAAACTGAGTGGTTTTTTTTTCCATTTTCAGTATTATAACTATTTCCTTAATAATTCCAATATGTCATTGAATAGTCATAAATCAATAGCATTAATATTATTAATATATTATTATCTTGAATTTCTTAGGTTTTTTTTTTTTTTTTACAGTTTGTTTGTAAGAGCCCCCTTAAGGTCTCATGAAGTCATGGGGGTGGTCTTCTTGAGTTTTTGATTGTTTCACTGTCTAGTTCTGGGATTGAGAATGTTATAGCACTACACCTACCATAGAGCAGATAGCCTGCATATGAACTATGATATAACAGACAGGAAAATTGCCTTTCTATGTCTCTCATTATCTCTTTTCCTATACTAATTTTGCTTTTGGTATCTTCTACTGGCATTAAATCATGAAAGTTGCCCCTCTGCCATGACACAGTGCCTTGGAGCCCGCAGATTATAGACCAAAATCTCTGCAAACTGTGAGCTAAATAAACATTTGCCTTTTAATTTTGGATGTCTAAAATTTTGTTTCAGCAATGGGAAAATTAACCAACACAGAATTTGGTACCAGAGAAGTGGAATCTTTGCTGTGACTGTAACTGACCATTTCATTCAGGAGCCTTTGGGAATAACTCAAGGAAGAGTTTGAAAAGATTCAAAGATGCTGACTGAAAAAGTAGGGCTGGAATATGTTGTTTTGACTTCAGGTCAGGACTCAGAAGGACAGAAGGAAGGTAGGAATCCTCTCAGGAAAGACATCAGGAGGTTCTCCTGGAAAAATAGACTGCCCTGGTTTTTCGACACCAGACAATGCATGTTATAGCTTGGAAGAAAGTTTATCTGCATTATGGTCATGCCAAGAGACTGCCAGAGGCTAAGATTGAGGCTGGTGACCTACTTAATCTGGTAGAAGAAATTTCAAGGCACTTGAAAATTGAAGCTGTGCCAAGGCTTCTGCTGGGGTGTTTAAGCAAAAGTGAGATGCATAGCAGAATTGTGTAAAATGTGGTTTGCCAAAAGGAAAGCTCCACCAAAGCTGTGGACTGCAAAAATAAAGCAGAGGAGATCTGAATTCATGAGAAAGGACAGAAAATTAGGTGAGGTATACTGAGGGAATCACAAGAAGTCACAGGACACCACACTTTATAGTCTCAAAATTGCAAAACTGAAAGACATTGCTTTGAGAAGGCCACAGTGCACCACATTCCAGATTGGTGGCATCCTGGAGAATTTGTTTCTCAGAATTAGATTCACAGTGTTAAGAAAGATTTAGAAAGATACTTTCAAGCAAATATTTTCTCTATAAAAGATTTTTCTGCTTTATATTTTATAATTTTGTCTAAATATTTTTACACTTTTATAACAAAAAACTAATTGGAGATTGTTTTCTGCTGAGATTTTTCATGTCAACTCATATTCACATTTTGGTTCAGTCTGTCACTCTTTCCTTTGAAGACCTGTGTCAGGGTAGTTTCTGAAAGATTAGGATGATCTGTTTCAGTATGACTCACCTACAAATGTGATGATTATTATTACCAATTTGGACATTTTGCAGAGAAATCACACTTAGGGGAAGTTTTGAAGGTGCAATCTTAGTGTTTCTGCAATAAACTATGGGGCAACACTAATTGAATTAGAAAGAGTCCTTTTTTGAATATTTGTATGTAGCAGTTTTAGCAGGAGACACACATGGTCATTGGTAAATTTCCTAAGACGACCCATGGCAGTTGACTTGCCCTAGCAAATGAGAAAATATTTACAACTGTAGAATGAGTGAAGGTTCAGAGGCAGGCAGGCCTTAGATAAATTCTCATAAGTACAATCCAAGACATAATTAGATACAGTCCAGGCATTGGTTTTAAAATAAGTGACTGCCATTTATAGTGAAAGGACATTTGTCTTCAGTTGGGATTTCATAAGGAATTAGTTAACCAATGACAGAGACGTTTTAACCATTGTGTAGATAGTTTGCACATAACTTGATGTTCTGATAGAAAATCTGTTGTTGGAAATGTGTTCATATGGCAGGTGCTAAGTACCAAATCTATAAATGAAAATTATTTTCACTATGCAGCAGTTGCTATGGAAAATATTTGCCAGTTTTAGTTCTGTCCAAGGGTCAATATCTAAAATATATAAAAAACAGGAAAGTTACCATGAAAAGAAATTGTCCTGTCAATACCTGGACAAATTAATGCAGCAATCACATCTGAAAAAGAATTGCATATGATCAATCATTACATGAAACATGCTCGGTATTTTAGCAGAGAGGAAAAGATAGAAGAATTTGAAAAGCTGTCATCAAGAATACAAAAAATAAATACTAACAAATACCACATGTTGCTAAAGATGCGTAGAGAAGTAAAATCTCCATGTTGGTGAGAATTTTAATTCCTGTGGCCACCATTGAAGTCAGAATAGAAACTCCCAAAACAATAAAATTTGTGTTATTATTTGTTCTGGCAGGGCAGCTGCTTGGGATACGTTTCCATAGGTAAATCTAGTTATATATATATATATATATATATATATATATATATATATATATATATATATAACTAAATCATATTGATGATCCCACGAGGGTCTGGCTCTGGCTCATCATAGGTGTGTGATACTCACTGGGTAAATATTTGAGGTGGACATTTGAGGGATAGCTGAGACTGCTCCCTTTAACAGAGGTTTGACCCAGATTTTCTGTTACTCTGTTAGGTAAGTATTTACCTGAAGTGTATGACAGTTATCCAGTCTCTTTCAGTTGTGGATGTCCTTAGATAGGAACCTTGCATTGTTAATCTTTCTCACACTGTGAAACTATATTGTGACATTCACACATATATTATAAACTACTCTTTTCTACTCTAATTATAATCTTTCAGTAGAATTCCAGAGAAAATATGAAGTACATAAAATTTACCATATTAAATGTCACCAATTTTGTAATATGATTCCCAATATTAACAATTTGCTCATGAGAATTTTGCAACCAGTTTATATTATTCAATTTCATTGATGACTCAAAACTTCCCAACTTTTCTAGTAAATACAAACATCCGTTGTGCTACACATTTCTTGAAGGCTTTCTTCACCTCCTGGTTCCTCAGGGTGTAGGTGAGAGGGTTTACGAGAGGGGTGACCACACAGTAGAAAACAGAGACCACTTTACCGATGGTGAAGTTGTACTTGGCCGGAGGGCGGACGTAGGCAAAGATAATGGTGCCATAGTAGATGGTGACTACAGTCAGGTGGGAGGCACAGGTGGAGAAAGTCTTCTTCTGAGCTTCTCGGGAAGACAGTCTGACCACTGTTGCCACAATATTGCCATAAGAGGAGACTGTGAGAAGGAAAGAGCTTAGAATCACAACTGAGGTGCATGTGTAGCCCAGGGCTTCTACAAAGAATGTGTCTGAGCAAGAGAGTTTGAAAACAGGGTCTGAGTCACAGAAAAAATGGTTGATCTTCTGTCCACAAAAGTTTAGTTGAGAGATGAGTATAGTAGTGGGGCAAGGGGCAAAGAAGCCCCCAACCCAGGACCCAGCTGAAAACTTGAGGCAGATCTGAGCATTCATGAGAAGTGAATAGCGCAGAGGGCTACAGATGGCTACATATCGATCATAGGCCATTGTGGCCAGCAAGATGCACTCTGCGGCTCCCATGGAGAAGAAGAAGTAGAGCTGGGAAATACATCCAGGAACAGAGATGGTGACAACTGTGGAGAGGAAGGTGTCCAGCAGCTTAGGCACAGCGGCTGTGGTGTACCAGATCTCTAAGAAGGACAGGTTCCCTAGGAAGATGTACATGGGTTTCTGGAGTGTGGAGTCCGTGAGAACAATGAAGATGATGAGGGTGTTTCCCATGAGGGAGAGCAGGTACACAGTGAGGAAGGTGACAAAGAGCATGAGCTGCAGGGAGCGAGAGCCTGAAAATCCCAGGAGAATGAACTCTGTCACTGCAGTTCGATTTGCTCCATCCATACTTCATCTGCTCTCATCTCAAAGGAACAAACACCAAATGATGGTAGATGGTCAAGTAGTTAAGAATGGGAAATTATTAGTCTTCAATTTAATATTATCAATAACTCCTAAATATAGAAAGTAGTGGCTGCCAAAAAAATAATCTCTATTTGTCTGAATGTGTGAATTCTCTTGGTTTTCAAAAAAAATTATCCAATATAAATATTGTAATAATCCAAGTATAACAAATGGGTAAACTAAAATAAGATAAGTAGTTTTAGAATCATCACATAATTGTTAGTTGATGGCTGTGTGTGGAGCCCAGGACTTTTAGCTCTAAAGACCCAGCTAATAAGCAACATGGTTGTGTGTGAGAGCTTGACGTGGTCCTGTGCCTGAGGGAGCCACATCTTAATTTACAGAGGATGAAATTTATAGAGGTTGACTGGGTCAGGTGGTGCTCAGGAGTATGAGTGATCCTGGGGCTTGCTGAGCTATGCAGATTGCTCCCCAAAACAAGTTTTTCCACAGTGTTCTCATGATAGTCCTTCAGTGATTCTGTCTGTAAAGTTAGAAGGCATTGGTGGAGCAAGCCCTGCATCAGAGCACAAACAGATATTGGGTTTAAAAGTATGCACAGAAGATGAGGAACAAAAACGTACATTTCCTGCTCTGTTGCTTCTTTTTAGAGTCATTATGTCCACACTGTTCAGTAATGGTTAGGTGAGAATATATTAAAAAGATGCAGATATTGTGCTGAGAGAAATGAAGATGCCCTGTGAGTACATTCATGTGCTTTTGTGCCAAAATATTCAGATGAATATTGTTTTAAAAAATACATAATAAAAATAATCTTTTCAAATTTGAAATATGTTAAATATTTTGAGTAAAGAGGCGGACATATTTTTTCATAGTAAGGTGAAAATAGTATGAATGAAAAGTGAAGACATTTGAGTGCCTGCATGTAGATTCCTCGTTTTTAATCTTTATGGAGTTTGAGTCATAAAACTACAGCAGAGTGCATGTGCCCATTGTGTCATTGTCCATGATTCCTGTAGTGTTCAGCAGATGCAGTAGGAGACTTTTTGTGGTGGTAAAGTCTACTGGGAGCAGTAAAAGAGAAGAGTGAGGGCAAAACTGGCTCTGTGGAGCACACTTGGGCTGAGGAAAACAGAAAGACAAGATGAAGACAGCCTAGAGCAAGCAGGCTGGACTTCCCTGAGGAAAGTTGCGACACCCCCAGCAGAGGCTTTTCTAAGCCATAGGTCTGAAAATAACTAATGTGAGTGCAATTTGTTCCATATAAACACATATTTATGCATAAATTTGTAAAAATTATATAATGTTATAAATATGTATGTACATGGACATGCAGATGTTAATATTAGATCTCAATGGGCACATATATATATATATATATATATATACACACACACACACCTATATATGTACATATTAGTATGATTCTTAGATAATTTTCAGGCTTTTGTCACCCTTTTATGACTAATGAAATTCAATTGTACTTTTTGCACTGTAGTTAATATGTCTTAGTATATGTCTTCATATACCTTTCTCATGGCTAAGACAAAATATCAGATGCCAAAAGTTAAAGGGATAAAGGTTTATTTAGCTTACAGTTTGTAGAAGTTTCAGTACATAATCAGCTGGGTGCAAGGAAGAGTGGGGCCCGACAGATGAGCAACAGTTTGTGGTGACCGAAGACAGCAAAAGCAGCAAGAGAGAACGAAGAGGCTTCTTTCCATTCCCTATATTGTATAAAGGGTGACTGTGCTAGTGTGGGTGTAGCACCCCACCCTTAATCCAAGAATTGGACCATGAAACAATGCAGACTATAGACACAAACAGTAACAACATTATTCAAGAGATTTTAAAAGACATAGAATAAAATTCATAATTTAAGGAAACAGGTTTTACAATAGAGCTGAAATATTTTGCAAAAATAGTTTTTTTCTCTTTTGATCTACTTAGTTTGGTAAGAGAAATATTAACATTTATGTGACTCCTATATGACAAAATGTACAAATGTTTCTGCAAAAAAAATATCCCATGGCCATTTCTCCCCTTATCAAACAAGGACAATTAATCATTTAAAAAATACAACTAGAGTATATTAACAGTGCCAGCTGGTGTCATCCCTTTCTTAAATACATTATGTTTATATAATTCTTTCTCTATCAGCAAGAGAGTTTTATATTCGTTGGCTACATATTACTTTAAAAACAGACTGAAAGAAAAATAGGTTCTAAGACAAGTAAAATATTATCCTAATGTTAAATGGAATATATATACCACAAAATTATATTTATGGTTTAAATCATAATTAATTATTCATCCTACATGTTAGAGGAGTGTCTGAAGTGTACTGTCCGAGGCTGATGACATTGTCCCAGCCTAACCAGAACATCTCTGTAGATGTTTAACACAGAGAACTTTTACTCTATAGAGTAAAATAAGAAATTTACCCAGTATACTCATATTTTACACTGTCTTCTTATTCTGAAAAGTGTTTTCATAGAAGATGAAGATTCATTAAGTTCTTCTTTTTAGTAAATTATGGATTGTAGCATACTGAATTCATTTGGTTTAAAAAGAAAAGAAGCAACTCACTGTGATGACACAGGTGTCTTCCCAGCATCTACACTATGGATCAAGAGTGAATTATTTAATTTTTTTCAGGGATCTTTATTTTTCCTGTGGTCATGGTGCAGGGAAAAGGGAGGAGAGAGTTTTCTCAGGTGAGAATCATGATTTCATCAGCCTGGAGACTTGGAGAGCTGCTGTCCATTTGGGGACTTCCATGTGGGTTGCCAGAGGATTCCTGGTAGTGAGGGTCACAGTGCTCTCCCCTCAGGACAAAGAAACCAGCACGGGAAGCTGGGAAATGCCCCCACAGGAGCACAATGAGCTGTGCAGTGTGTGGCTTCACTAACTGTTATTGCCTTTGATAGTCACTCCTGAGACACTTCCCTCTGATATTTCAGCAAACAAAATATTGTCAAAAAAACCATACACTTTAACACAGTTGGTATAAACTAGATCATTATGCAATGCTCTTTCTCTACAGTATAAGATCTACAAAACATGAAAAGAATAGAACACTGCACTAGATTTACACCATTTAATGAAGATGAGTAAGAGTTTTAATAAGTGAAAGAGTAAAGCAATGATGCCCAGCATAATAAGGAAACAGATCAGGTGTTTCACTAAAAGACCCATACGGGAACCTACAGAGTACAGGCAGTGCCATGGAATGTAACATCCAACGCATCAGGAGAAGCTAAAATCTCCCTGATTGAATAAGCAAGTTCAGATCCCATTTATGTTCAGTGATAAGGGATTTAGAAAACAAGTTGTATGCTTTTCAAACTATTCAATTTGATTTACTTTGTAAATTAATTTTATTTTATTATACAATGAAAAATTATAGTTATGGGTAGTTATAGAAAGAAAGTGAAATTGATAATCCAATGAAGCCAATTTTAGTAGACAACATCACAAGTATATAACATTCTCTCAGTAAGAACATTTGCCCTCTTAGCAGTACTGGAATGTATAACAGTCCTTCATTAGCCGATCTCACCAGTCTATGCAGTAGAACTAAAATTGTCAGACGTTTCCCCCACATAACTGAAGATCTTCTCCTTGTACTACCACACCTCCCTCCCCCTTTCTCCAACATGTGGTAGTAACCACTTGGGCCTACACTTCTGAAAGGGTGATGTTTTTAAACTCCCCCAGTGTGAGACACTGAGTTTTGTGAAGCCTTGTTGGACTGGTATCACTTTTCTGATTCTATCAGTGATGTCACAGGTCATAAATGTCTTCTACTTCAAGAATTATTATATTGCATTGTGCACATACATCACATCTGGATTTGTTCTTATTTTTTTAAGAGGATAAAACCAAGGAAAATAAAGCAGAATAAAACCAGTCAAAACAAACCAGTGTAAATGACACAGGAATTCAAAACAATATGAAATCAGCAATAGTCAGCATAATGTCTCTTTAAGTTCTCAAAATAGCTGAAGACACCCTTGACATAGTGAAAATCAAACAGAACAAAACAAAATAAAACCAACACAAATAAAACAATGAATGCAATAAAGGAGTTAAAAACAAGACAATAGTAACTCCAAAATGGCTATCATAATATGTCTTGCTATCTTTGAAATAGCTGCAATCAGATATAACAAAATCAAATAAAGCAAAACAAAACAAACCCCACTCAACAAAACAATGAGAATGATACAGGACTTTAAAACAAGACAATAGGGAATTAACAATGTCCACCACCTTCAGAAGGAAATCCCCCTAGATGCCACACTGTTTATTGCCATCCTCTGAATAGGTGATCAAGGCAGAACACTGGCCCTAGACCTGCGAGTCACTAAAACACAAACACTTCACGCATCAAACTGGATTTCACCTCTACAGCTGTCATCACAGGCTGTGTTTTTCTGGATCTGCCAATTGCTTACAGGAGGAGGAAAGCAGATTGGCTCTTCTCATTTGCAGCCTGCATGCCCAAAGGGGCCGCAATCTGGCTGTGCCCCCACTGGTGGTGGCCCAAGCTTGGAGCTGGTTCTCAGGGAGGGCTTCCTTCTTGGTGAATCCTTTTTCTTTCCCCTTGCAGTCAGACACTGACAGGGAAAGGCTTGGCTCTGCCTGGATTTGTTCTTTGATGGACACTTACGTTCATTCCACATCCTGAAAGGAGAACTGAGAGGAAGAAGGAGCGCTGTTGGTTCTCCTGGGTGCTGCTGGTTCTCCTGCTGCTGTGGGTTCTCCTGGGGGACATGTGGAGCTTCTTTCCCGATATGAACTTGGCAGTTCTCATTGCCAGAACAGCTTGAGACCTTGTCACTGAGAATGATTGTCATCTAATTTGGGGAGCTCTGGTCATCACCACATCCTGGCTCCAGAATCTGAGATGGTGTGCTATTTAATCTCCAGGAGAAGCTTTTCCTGATATGAACTCAGCTGTTCTCATTGTCAGAGAA